CGGTCAGGCATCTAGAGGAGAGATTAGATAGTAACACTTACACAGTCAAATGTAATGTTGGAAAATGTTTTCATTGACATCACAACAAAGAACAGCTCATCACAATGAACAAGTTTAAGGGGTCGGAAAGTCTTTTTGAGAATGGGAAATGGCCTTAGTGTAAATGTTCTAGAGAGAAAATTGTTTTACGTCCATGAAATGAGAAAAAAAGTGGCCTTAGTGCAAAAGTTCAAGAGAGACAAGTCCAATTTTTAAAACACTTTTTATTAAAGCTTTAAGATCGCCTTTATTTCCAAAGCCATATTATTATTATTGTATTATTATTAGTAGTTTTATATAGCGCGGTACCCCAGTCTTGGGCTGGGCTCACCACGCTGTACACACAATTTAACAAACATAATCATGAACTTAAAAATAAACATACATTAACAAAGTAAAACTAAACAAATGTATATTCACTCCACACATTCAAGAACCATTTACATTTCAAGCCATGGACGGCTACCCAGCAGCATTGTTTATACTGTCTGATGTAACAATATAATTATTTATAGCTTAAAATTTGGAGTTTTTATAAAATTGAAATCAGGTGAGGCACTACTTAAGATGCACGATTGTAATTATATGAAGACGTGGAATAATAAGTGAATCATAATGGTCAAAGTCTCGTGCAATGTTTTTATCCTAAACATTTGTCAGTACCTAGCAGTAGCAAAATTTCAAAATTTTTGAGGGTTGGACCGTGCCCTGGGGTTTCTATTCTTGCTGATACGCAACATTAATTATCTTGAACATTAAAAGTATCTGCATTAATTCCTTCAATTATTTTAAATTATTCCAGCAAGCTGAAAAGCAGTTGTAAAAATTAAACACGTTAGGAAAATTCTCTGTCTTTTGTGACCCATGATGTCATAATATTATTTGGTTTCATAAGTCAACTTTATGACTACAAATATTTTTCTTCAGGCCAGTATTTTGCCAATCTATTTCATAAGTCTGAGCTTTGTTTCCTACCAGTTCTAATTTCATGATCTGTATGCAGTCCTTGAGAATCCTGTATGGGGCAGAGATTATCCTTCCTACAGCTGTCAGGGCGTTCAGACGATACGGGGGACAGAAAACTTTCAGATCAAAAAACTTTTCCAGCACCTGGAGCTCTTCAGTGGTCCATTTATCTTGGTGTTCTGCCATTAACAGGAAAGTTTATAGTGTTGAATTAAGTATTTGTAATGCTACTGTGAGTCACGATGCTAACTATCAAACACAGAGCAGCGCTCTCATTGCTACATGGAAGGTCGATACAGTCAAGGTAAAATATTGCTAATGTTTAAAAGATATTTTTTTAAAATAAGCAAATAGTTTTATTAATTAATGGAGATCGTGACAGAAGGTAATAATAGTTTGAAATAATTCCAAGAATCATGCAAAGGCTATTGAAAAAAAATTAAGGTGTAACAATGGAATCAAGTTTAGTTTCGCTTCTAAATTCAGTTGCCATTACTTTAAAAAACAAGACCTAAGATTAAAATCAACATTATAAAAAGTTCATTAGGTATGCATTCAATTTAATTCAAAAGTTATTCAGCAAAATTGTATTTCTTGGTTTTATAAAAAATTAAACATGGACAAACATAAAAAAAAAAAATAGATTTTAATATTTGTCCACATCAAGAGAGGAATTTTAAAATCTTTTTTTCAGGACACAATCTTAATCATCGAGCAATCTATTTGGATTGAAATATGTTTTTTTTAAAAGTTCACCTGGTGTAGGAGTAATTTTCATGTGTAAAGACTGGCAGGTTGTACTGTTGAGAGATAATTTGTACTGCAGAGTGTCCACTTTAAAACATATGACACCAGGCTCATTGCTGGGTATCATCTGCATCTGTTGAGTTCATATGGGTGTTACAACAAAATAACATATGCCATGACACTTGCCACTGTGGGCTGACACTACACGACTTTACCTCCTAAAACATCCATTTACATTTTAAAATATTTCAGATATTTTGGTTATAAAAAGATGTTTAAATAAAGATTAAATGAACCATCTCAGTATCATAGCGCCAGTTAAGAAATTATCTGGCAAAGGGAAATAACTACATTTTTATCAGAAGTTGCTGAATTAAAAAATTTATTACAAATCAATCTTGAATCCAACCATAAAAAAAAAATACAGATAATTGTATAGAAAAGATGAAATTTTATTTAAAATAAGTCTACATTAGGACCAGTAACACCTAATTTTTCTTAAACAACACAATTGTATAGACCCGTCATATCTATCAATTTAATCTTCATCTTCTTTTAAAGGGATCTAAAAGGGCTATTGCAATTAAGCTTACATCTACTGTCAACACAGCACATTTTTTTAAAAATCAAAAGAAGTGTAAAATCAAGCGCACAGCCACCAAACTGCGACAAAAGAAGAGCTTGACACTTCCTGTTTATAACTAGGCTCTTTGTTAAGAAGAGTTACCTTCACTAAAGTATGTTGAAAATGACGTGTTGTTACGGGGGAAATTTGACTGTAATGAGACTAAGGAGTAAGGGCTGGAAAGCCTTAAAGCAACTGAAAGGGTTAATTATTTGAAATGAAGAAAATTTAAAGCTTAGTAAAAGAGAAGCATTTTGTGTGCTTTAAATTTTTTAAAGACATTGAAATCAATATTACCAGCACTGCAATTTACATTGGGTTCACTTCTGACTGCTCCAGTTATATAAGCATAGTTTCATGAAACATTTTTTATCTTTAATTGACCATGGCATTCAAAATATAACTGCCCAAAGAGAAAAATACACAATTTGCTTTGATAGCTTAGAAAAAAAAAAATCTTCATTTTTAAATGCCCAAAGATGAAGAAATTATTTTCAAAAATATCTTCTTGCCAGACCATATCTTTCAAATCTACATCAATGTACCCTGAATGTGTTGTGCCAGCTATGTGTGGTGCTAACATTGTTTAGAACTTTCATAGTGTTGACCTACCGACTGCTCTGTGTTCACCAATCTACTGGTGTGTTTCTTCATGATGGTGCAAGCAAAAAACCTCTCCAAGGGTGATGCCGGGGTGTGCTGGACAGAACCTTGCTGTGACTCAGGGGTTGGGGTGAGTAGAGTGTCAAAACCTTTGTGAGACAGGATGGTTGGGATAGCTGCAGCCCATGCTCTCTGTGGCAGGATACGAGCCTGCATGTTGACAACTGGGGAGAAAAAGTGCCGGTCAACTCAAATGAAATTGATCAAAATGACCTGTGATTAGATCAATAGACAGTTTATGCATGACACTTTGAAGCACTTATGAAATGTATCTTGGTCTAAGTGTATTGTAAAAATTTGAGCTACTCTGATGTAAATTTATTTATATAGAATTAAGAGTATCTTATACAGTTTCAAATAATTAAAGAGCACTGTATATCAAATATGTTTCTCCCTTCATTCATAAATCATTTCAAATGAAGGGCAATGCAAATAATTTTAATTTTAATACTTTTTTTTCTTATTTGTGCAATTTCTTGAAGAAAGGTGAGTATCATTTAGAAATAAGTGACAAATAGTTTAATACACCCCACTGTTTCAAACTGAAGAGCCTTGTAACTTTATTTTTGTAATAATAATGAATACACAATGATTGCACTCACCCCCAAGCTTGTGGTCCCCATCTTTGTGTGTCTGTGGTGAGTGAAGAGCTGGGTGACCAGGTGAGTGGACAGTATGATGGGATACGGGTGACGGGTCTTGTACAGATGGTGATCCCACCCACCCACCCCTTACGCCGCCTGGGGATGGCATGGCCAAACTTGCCCCCGGGAATGGGGAGCCTCCATCAACAATACCTGAAATATAGTCATAAAAAGGATAGAAAAATTAGGAAGCAAAATTATACTTCAGTCACATTTAAAGGTTTTTAAAATCGTTTATATTAACTTCACTTTTGTTGGTGGCTGGCTGGCTGGAAAGACCTTCAGATGGCTAATTGGCCCACTTGGCGTTATCCGATCGAGCTGAAACTTGGCTCATAGACTCATTAAAAAATATGCTATGAAATATTTATTTATTTAAAAGAAACTGATCGGCAAAAATTGACATGTATAAATATTTAAGAGAAAACTTTAGGAAGCCGATAATATTAGTTTTATTTATATTAAGGAAACCGATTTTTGTTTTGACGCAACTAAATTATAAAACAAATCTTAAAGAAAATTATGCAGATGGTTTAAAAAATGCAAATTATAGGTGTCTACTTTTCAATTTTACTATAATAGAAAGGTTAGATTTAAAAAATGTGAAAGCATTAGTTGTGACTAAACATTGTTTTTAGGCATTTTTCAATTTAAAGCTAAACATGAAACATCCCATGCTCCCAAAATACTACTGACCGCTCATAAAGGACGTTGCTGGCGACTGCATATGAATGCCAACCAGTGAGGACTGAGGGGAGGGGGCTGGTACAAAAGAACCAGGAGATGGCACATGAAGCTGGGGGTTCCCTGGTGAGTTGGCTGTCAGGAGGCTCCCGGGCGAGGGCGTGCCCATGAGTGCAGTGGATGGAGATGGATTCACCTAGAGGGTAACAAATGAAGAAGATTAACACATGGAGCAGCAGCAATAATTGACTGAAGCCAATAGATCTAATCTGGTAGCACCAGAACTTGAGTGCTGGAACCAGTGGTTACAAATTTACAGGATCATTGGCATTAATCTACTGGAATTTTTAACAGAAAGCACAGTTAATTGTTGTGCTACATATGGTATGATTTAAATTATCAGAATAAGGGCTAACCATAGCTTAAATTAAGACAAATTGTTTTTAAAGCATTAAAAAGCCATTTATCAGAATATTTTCATTGGAAAAATGTTCATTTATGTTTCCAAAATTTAAAGCCTTGATAAATTTTCCTGTGCTAAATTGATGGCTTTTTTTTGTCCATAGAGCTTGTCATTTAATGGTGGAAATCTATTGATAGAACTGCTGTAATCACCCGGGTACTCAGGTCGGACAAAATGTCAACACCGTTCAGTACTACTATGTTGGCGAGGAGGACCTTAACCTAGATCAAAAGCTTGTTTACAACTACATTTTACAAAATATTTTACAAATTTTTTTTACTGCTATTTTGTGAAATGGGACATTGCTCGTACTGCACATGTAACATTGACTCTAGATACAAGGATCGTTCAAACCATATGCTGAAACACACTATTACCTGCCATGTTTGAGTTTTAAGAAATATTTGTCCGACGTTCTAAAAATAGTAAAGTCTGACATTTTCCAGTCTGAAAAATGACAAACTCTATTGAAAACTTAACAGCTTCTATCTATATCTTTGAATAACTATAACATTTTTATTACCTATAAAATCCACTCAGAAAATTGGAAAAAAACTCGAACTTCAAGAGCTGAAGAAAGAAGCACTACTAATAATAAAACAAAATAAAGTCACAGGGCTTATATAAAAGAAGTTAAAGTTAAGGTGATATAAGAAGTGAAAAAAAAAAGAGCCAAGAACAAAGAAGCAAAGCAGCGACTAGGTGACATGTTACCAACATAAAGTAAATAGTGAACTTACCCCAGCTGGCAGCCTGGCAGAGCCAGGAGATGCCGGCGTGTGAGGGTTGGATGGTGGGGTCATGGGACTGTGGAACCTAAAGTTGTCCTGTCGGGTCTGGGCTTGCGTGGACCTGGGAATGGGAGACCCTGTGCTTTGCTGGGATGAGAACATCTCAGACGGGTCGATGCCAAGTGGGGACGGGGGGTTATCATCCGCTGTTGCAGACTGGCGGCGTCCCAGTCCCATGGTGACACCCTCGTCCACAAACATGGAGAGAAAAGACTGGTAAAAGAAAAAAAAGGCAGTGTAAGTATCAAATGAGTACTGGAAATAACATACAAAGATATCTTTGTAAAATTTAACACATCTTTTGACCTAAGGTAAAACAAATGAACATTTTTTGGGGATAATTTTTTACAGTGAATGAAAATTTTTGGGTATAATTGTGAACATTAATACATGTCTTAAGTCCCGCTACACTCCAAGACACAGAATACATGTCTTAAGTCCTGCTACACTCCAAGACACAGAATACATGTCTTAAGTCCTGCTACACTAAAAGACACAGAATACATGTCTTAAGTCCCGCTACACTCCAAGACACAGAATACATGTCTTAAGTCCCGCTACACTCCAAGACACAGAATACATGTCTTAAGTCCCGCTACACTCCAAGACACAGAATACATGTCTTAAGTCCCGCTACACTACAAGACACAGAATACATGTCTTAAGTCCCGCTACACTACAAGACACAGAATACATGTCTTAAGTCCCGCTACACTCCAAGACACAGAATACATGTCTTAAGTCCCGCTACACTACAAGACACAGAATACATGTCTTAAGTCCCGCTACACTACAAGACACAGAATACATGTCTTAAGTCCCGCTACACTACAAGACACAGAATACATGTCTTAAGTCCCGCTACACTACAAGACACAGAATACATGTCTTAAGTCCCGCTACACTCCAAGACACAGAATACATGTCTTAAGTCCCGCTACACTCCAAGACACAGAATACATGTCTTAGTCCTGCTACACTGCTAGAGACACAATACATGCCTTAAGTCCTGCAGTTGGAGACAGTCCTTCTATAGGTTTAGTTGTATCAAAGAGGCTGCATGCGCCATCTTTCACTGCCACTGTTTTGTTACCACGGAAATGAACATCTATGCAGTTACTGTAGAAGGAAATGAACATCTATGCAGTTACTTTGGAAATGAACATCTAGGCAGTTACTTTGGAAATGAACATCTATGCAGTTACTGTAGAAGGAAATGAACATCTATGCAGTTACTGTAGAAGCAAAACATTTCTATGCAGATGCATTTATTCACAAAGAAAAACATTTCAAACCTCTCTTTCAAATGCTACTTTGTTGAGTGATTCATATTCAGGTGGGGATACTAACTATCGACTCATTACTCATGAGAGTAACTGGAGTGCATGGGGTGCCGATTGGTCTAAACTGAGCAAATCTCAAGTTGGTGGTCTCGAGTTCAATTCCAGCCAGAGCCCAGTCAAGCAAAAACATCACCAGCACCCCGGGTGGATGGGACTCGTTAACCTTGGATGGCAACTCATCTAAAAGAAGGCAACTCATCTAAAAGAAGGCAACTCTGAAATCAAACCCGGAGATGGAGTCCCGAAAGGCGGATAACATTGGTAAAATGAATCATTCCGACAACTCCTGCGACGTCACTGGTGCCAAGCTGCATCATCCACATGATGTTCCCTTGGGTTCTCCAGCGGCGTGGAGAGAGGCGATTTGCTATTGGGAACCAGCTTATAATCCTTGAAGAATAATCCCAGGCCATGTGGATTTCGTCCTCCGAAGCCCTTTCCATCGTCACATTGTGACGGACGGATGCCAGCACAAAAAAAACAAAAAAAAAACAAACAAAAAAAACTGGAGTGCTTGGACGGCATGGTGTATAATCAAATCCATACTTTTGTTATGGAATCTATGTTTGCGTGTGGGGTCCTATCTGTGAAGGGACTCCTTGCCCAAAGGCATAAAAATATACTCTGGAAACCATAATGAAACTTTACTGGATGTGACAAAATATTTCTTTGAGTTGTACAAGATAATGAATGGCAGATAATTTTTTCATGCGAATAATTTAGAGGACAACAGGTTAGATCAGCCAGTCTTAAATACAGATTGAGAGATTGAGCTTTTATGTAGCGCAATATAGTCGGATGTGAACAACCTAAATATTAGCCCATTTTCTTACCTGCCCCGACATACAATCCTGACATGGGAGCTGGACTGTGGGATGATTGTGAAAGTCTGGATGTGTTGTCTTGTATTCTGAAAATAAGATAATATGAGAGACTGAATTCAAGCCATGTCAAGTAAATAAATAGTGGCACAATAAATATTTAGACTCGTATCCGGAAATTTGATCGAAAGAAATTTCGTCGACGGTAAATTGATCGACGGCAATTTGATCAAACGGAAATTTCATCGAATCATTTTTTCAGTTTTTACGTTAAAATTTTGCTTCAAATTTCTTTTAGAACGCATTATTTTGTTTTACTATATAGTATGGTGCCTCCAAAAAGAAATTTGAAGAAAATTTTAACGTGTGAACTGAAAAAAAGATTCTACCAAATTTCCGTTCAAATAAATTACCGTAGATCAATTTACTGTCAATGAAATTTCTTTTGATCAAATTTCCGGTAACCGTTTAGACTTGAACAAATTATTTAACCCTAGCTAATGGCCTTAATATTTGCAGTATGGGAATGTAATTAATTAAATTGTGACCTTGAGTAATTAAGGAAAAAACTGTCCTGTCTTTTTTTTCTAGACTAAACATATCTTGTTTCACTGATTATTTATTCTGAAAACCAGAGCAGATTATGGAACTCAGAACTAACATATATTAAAACAAATAGCGGAGCTGGTAGCATATAAAAGAGTCATGGAGCTGGTAGCATATAAAACAGTCATGGAGCTGGTAACATACAAAACAGTCATGGAGCTTGTAGCATATAAAACAGTCATGGAGCTGGTAGCATACAAAACAGTCATGGAGCTGGTAGCATATAAAACAGTCATGGAGCTGGTAGCATATAAAACAGTCATGGAGCTGGTAGCATACAAAACAGTCATGGAGCTGGTAGC